TCCCCCTTACTGCTGCTCTCCTAGGGGATTCCCCTGAAAAGTGGCGCGCTCTCATTGGCTGTTACGCATTAATTCAAAGTAGGGAGAATTCCCCTTCCTACTTATGTCAAAACAAAGTTATATTAATAATGGATTTTACTGACACAAAATAAACACAGGAAGCACAAGTCAGAGCAAACTAAAAGCCTCTTAACTCAAAGGCAAAACACCGTATTAACCTTATATTTTCCAAACATTTTAAGAAATGAAATTTCTAGATACATGTAATATTTTCAAATTTAGCATTTTGATGACGTAGCGTGCAATCCAAGAATTTAGCTTTCTATTAACTCTGATTTCAATGAAATCACAGATAGTTGATGAGGACAAAAAAAAAAAAAACGTTGAAAAGATGAGCAAAAGTGTCTCATGGATATTTCTCAAGCAATCATATTGAAATATCCATACCAAAACTCCAAAAAGAAATATTTAACAAGCTAATGGCTAATTTTGATTCCGAGCACATTCGAACAGAAAAATTTATTTTTTTATTTTGAAAATACGCCGTGAATTTCTAAATGTGGATTTTGTTTATATAAGAACTCTTTGTGCGACCAATCAACAAGAGAGCCATTTGTTTACATACATGTCATTATACGACCAACTTATTTCAAGGCAATTTTGACATGGACGTGTTTTAACGTATCCAATCGAAACTCATTTCAGAATAAAGCTAAAAACTATATTTTTAAATTCCGAATGGACGTGTTTTTATTGATAAACCACCTAGAAGTTATTTAAACGAATAGGCGAAATTCCAAGTCTTTTTTGTGCCCATTTTTTAAAAGCCTCTCAAAAGTTGTGGGCGTGGCAATGCAAAAGAGCGTAACTCTAGCACAATGCAGCAGCCACATGCGCTGTTTGAGCGCCTTTTTTCTTACAATAGCCATTACCGAAACACATATTTTCTTGCGTTTTGATTTGTCTTGGAACAAAAGATAGTTTATGACGTATTAGATTTGCGAGAGAGATTGGTTAGATTACAATACTAGGGGCCCAGCCCAAAATTGTAAATTTATAATTGTGGGTTCAGCCCATTTAATCTAACATCATTCTGATACATGGATTTGTGTTTTCATTCTCTTTTTAATTAAGAGGGAGATCGATTGAGTTAGAGAGACATTTGCGGCTGTCTATCAGATCTCTCGGATTTTATTGTATTAGTCAGCGTCTAGTGATTTTATTTAGTAGCAGACATTAAATCCACTTTTCTAAATAATTAGACCCATTCTCCTAGTCTAGTTTTACTGTTTTCTTTTGTTTTACTTTGTTAGTCACTACCAGTCTATCCACCAAATGCACGAGGATAACAGCAAACGTCTATCCAACTACTGCATTTACTGGTATATCCATGACCACTTGGACAGCTGCTCCGAAAATACCATTGATCTCCTTTACCAATTTTGCCTTTACATAAACAATATGTTCGCTTTTCTGGTGCATTCTCTGTGAAAAATCAATCAGTCAGGTAGTCAATATGTGTGATAGCATGTTTAGAGAGGGAAGGAATTTCGTATTTAGCAATCAATTCAATAAATGGAAATAGCGTGCGCGCACAAGTTGATGACGCACGGGAGTATGGTAAGGCGAAATTTAAACTGCATCCGGTTACTAAAAATAGCCCAACCGGGAATTTACATGGCGCGCGCGTTATTAAGATGTTTCCCTCTCTAATTTATGCTCTCTTGCCCATGTCGAAAACTCCCGATATAAATAGCAGATTCACTCCTTTGTTGGATAAGAACCTCGTGTTTGTATGAAGTCGCGTAGCTTTCGTAAGCAGATGACCTAAGACGATTGATAAACGTTTAATTATCGATCTGCTAACATCTTAGTGAGCGAATGACGTATTTGCATATTCAGACCCCTTGCAGCTCGTAGGAATGCATCTCAATTTGGAGGAAATAACAGTAGCTTTCCAACTCTCATGAGATTGAGATTTCTTTTTTCTGTCCTCCAAATTGAACTGCTTTGCATTTAACGTTACATGCAAGGGGTATATAGCGCGTTTCAACGCTTGGCTTATCTACCTGTTAAAAAAGAAGTAAATATTGAAAAAAGCAAACGCAACAACAACAACAACAACACTTAAGCAATTGCTTACTATTTTCGGTTTCAGTAAAAACTTGCTTATTTCAAAAACTCTATCCTTCTTTTAAAATCTCGAAAAGCTTATTTTCCCCAAACAGATTCTTTGCAATTGAGAATTTGCGATTTGAAGTTTAAACTGAGGAAGCGCGCTGAGAAAACCCCATCCAGCCACCTTAAATCTCATACACCTCCATTGAATTTTGGTGGGAAAGTGACAAAAGTGATCTCTTTGAAAAAACTATATATTTTAGTACATTTCAAAAAGTCCTTTATTCTAATTAGATTTAAAAAATACAACACATGTTGAATACCTTCCTTCAGATCTGCAGTTGCGAAAACAACCGTAGCACAAAGCACCACCAAACACAGCAACAGAACCTTGTTCATTTTCTTGGCTTCTTTTTTAACCTGGAAAACAAAAACCAACTCAGTGAATGACATAGCCATTATCAAAAAATGATTTGGTCTTTCAAATTTAGCTGCTCCGGAACTTGCTTTTAATCGGTCTACAATGAAAACCTCAATAATATCAAAATTAACCCATCCACACGATTTGTATAACAATACTGCATACCTTGAATCTTGTGAAATCCTCAGTTACTGTGAAGCAGTTTCAGCTAGGAGTTTAATCAGCAGTGCTTCCTTTGAGCCTTAGGATCAGAACGCGAATGAATGACTCGTTGAGCTTGCTGCTTCTTTTATTTACTACCTTGTGATTCATTAGCTATTCATACATACTGAAGAAAGGAAGTAACATTGCCCCCATAGTATAGGTACTCTTGGTAACGTAGTAGTTAGGGGAATCTCGATTCCATTACTTGCCGTGGACTAAAATCAAGTTACCTCAAACTATTTTCCGTCCTTATCCGATCGAGATTATTATATTTCTCTTTCTTAAAATAAAATGAAAGCTTTTCTTTCTCTTTTTACTTTTGTAGCTGATTGAAATCTTGTCCATGGATTCTTTCCTTGACTTCCTTGACAAGTCATTATTCAACTTACTCATATTATCCTGATATTATCCTCAATAATTAGAGTGATTAAAATATTAATTAAAATGAAATTAACCCGTAAAACAGATATAGCGCACTGATAACATTATTAATCGTTAACGGAACCCGATTAGTGCCATGTAAATTTTCGTGATTGCATGATTTTACTGTACTTTACCCGACTTTTTTCCTGAACCGAGAAAAAAGTCTAGAAAGGAAGTCTAGAAAAAAGTCGAGAAAAAAGTCGAGAAAAAACCCGAGAAAAAAGTTGGGGAAAAAGTACGAGTAATTTTACATGGCACTAATCGGGCTATGTTCGGCTACGTACAATTTATAGATAGAAATAGAAGACAAAATAAGGATGCTTGTTTATTTAGATGTCTAATAAAAAGTGCACTCTATAGTCCAGTTAGCCAAAATAACTTCGGCAAGAGCTTAGAGGAGTTACAATAAACCCAAAACAAAACCTAATAGTCAATGTCCAATAGTCAAAGGAAAACAAAAGAATACAGTGGAACTGTTTAGCAACTACGTACTAATTCGAGCGGCGAGGTAAATATTCCCCGATATTCATTGAGGCTGAGGCAAATAATTGTTTTAGTATAAATACACAGGTGATTCTTTCAAAAAAAGAAAAGAAAGAAAAGAAAAGTTTTTTTTTTCCCGGTAACGGCAACAAAGCCGGATTAAAAAAAAGTTGGATTATCGCTGGAGGTGATTATCGTGTGATAGTGTGAGTTTCTCGACCAATCAGTGCGCGAGATTTTCAATAATCACTTGTGTATTTTTACTAATACGTATTAGTTCACTATCTGTTTTACAGGTTTATAGTAACCACTCTATTTATTGAGGACTGAGGGAATATGGATGAGTCACCGGTTGTGAAAAAAGAGAAAGGAAAGGAAAAGGAAATGAGCAAACGTTCCAAATAGATCGGCTATTTTTTCCGATGACTCGAAAATTACGCCGTTATTACAGGGATTGAACTCAACACCCCATCAAAACCGCGAAACTGACACAGATTCCCTTAAGAGAAGATTGCATTATACTGACAAAACCATATATATAACTTATAGAAAACTAAGTCGGGGAAGAAGTCGAGGAAAAAGTCGGAAAAAGTACAATCAATCAGGAAATTAATTTGCATGCCAATCATCGGGTTCCGTAATTAGCGATTAATGATGGTTATTAGTGCGCTATATCTGTTTTACGGGTTAATTTCAATTTTAATTAATATTTTAATCACTCTAATTATTGAGGATAATATCAGGATAATATGAGTCAGTTGATAATGACTTGTCAGGGAAGTCAAGGAAAGAATCCATGAACAAGATTTCGATCACCTACAAAAGTAAAAAGAGAAAGACAATTTTCATTTTATTTTATGTCCGGAACCTTGTTTTTGCAGTTTGTCCATTTGTTCGCTCATTTCTTTGGGAATGCGTCGCAAATGTTATTTTCGATGTACATTTCGACCATGCTTCGTTGGCCTCCTTCAGGATCTGGCGTTCTTGAATGATTTTTTCCCGTATTGCTCTCCACGCCGGTTTAAGATTCACGCATGTGTTTAGTAGAATCTTTTTGTTATAAATTGATCTCATCATTGCCTCTATTGCCTCTAAGAATTTTCTTTTGTCACTATTTCTCACTATTTCTCTCCTGAGAGATTTTCTTACTCTCTTTCCATTTGATCTCATGTTTATTTGTCGCCAGTGTTCATTCTTCTTTCTCCCGCTTCAGGGTAACCCTCTTCGAGATCTTTACGTGTGAGTCTTATTTTATCTTGATGTCCCTTCCGTCTCGTTTTCCCGGAAAAATAATTTTCTTCCTTTTTTTCTTTCGAATGTACTCGTATCTTTCGCATCCACATGGGATTTTCAGTGTAGACTACGTCGGTTTTGTTGTCACTTTACTTTTTTGTTCCTGATTTCATTGCCACTTTGAAGTAGGACTTTTCCGCTAATGTCATCCGTCCTACTATACTCATGCACTGACAATGGACATAAACCTAGTGAAGCTGTCCAAAAGGACGCGGGACATTTAGACGTTCTGTCAATTTTGTCGCGGGTCTGAAATTTGTCTTTTATTTATAAATTAATATTCTTTGGTATTCTTTGGTAGAAAGATAGAACATTGTTAATTCACGCTAGGATATTTGATTTAATGATCATTTGGCTTTAAGAATCTGACAGTTTTATGATTTGTTGTTCTATAAAACCTCATATCAATCCTCTTGAATGAGTTAGATTGAAAACCAAACAATTCTTCCTCCATTTCAAATGCCGTTGAATGCGCTATAACTTCTTTATAAATCATAAAATACGGCTATTTACGTTCTCAAAGTGTGAACCTTATATTAAGTTGTATGCTTGTTTTTTTACATTGAAACATGTCTTAAGTTAGTATTTTAGCTTTAAGAATTTTATTTCGACAACTAACTTTAAGGATCTTCCGTTCCCTGAAATTATGCAGAATCCGACAAAAGACTACACAATTGACCTAGAACTATGTTTGAAACTAAAGAACAAATATTTCTTTGAGCACTAAAATAGTTGATGCATTTTGACCACTAATTCGATGCAACTCCAAAAGGAGAAGAAGCTTCACTAGTACAAACACCATAAAAGATGTCATGATCCACAATGAAAGTGTGAATTTTTATGACTTTGTCACAAAGATGAACAAACAACAGCTGCTTGAACATCTTTGGCTAATCATCTCTAAATAAGTGGTAATTATTATCGTAACAATGAAACCTCATGAATAACAATTGAAAGTAACATAGTAGGTGAATTTCTTCAAACTATATATTACCAATATATAACAACATCATGATGTTATATCGCTAATAGCGGAGCTCCCGCGCGGGCCAAAGGCCTGCACGAGAGGAGCACCATACTTGTAAACCATCGAGTTGATTTTTCATGGCTTGGCTGACGTCACTTCCGTCCGTACGTCCGTACGTACGTCCGTGCACACAACACAGGAATCCCGCTTGATGTCTAAGCAAAACTACTCACTAATGCGGCTCTCAAATGCACAGAAAAAATCGCTTTAGGGCAAATTATAGACCAACAACAAATTTAAAAAAACTTTCATGTAGTCAAAGATGTATCAAGAAGTGTTCCTCAAGAATTCAGGTGTGTGTTTTTAAGCAAACAATCGAATATTATTATTTTTTATGACAAGCATTTTCGACTAATCAAAGAATTTCTCTCAAAACGTTTTATATAAGCTTAATTTATTTTAATGCTGGAGGAAATATAACACGGAGAGCATGTTACGACAACAAATATTCGTTCTTTATTTAGCTTTGTAAATCTTTAAAAATTTGGTTGTTTTTAAACAACTACCGTATGCTTTTCGTTCAAGACAAAACGCAGCTTTGTTCACCTCCTATTGCGAGGTCCCATCGGCAAAACAAAGAAGACTTTCATTCAATAATTTTATATCTTTCCACCGATAATTCATTTAATTATTGAATGAAATATAAATTTACACCAAATATTCAGCTGTTTATTAAGCTGTTCGAGCAAGTATGATTATGAAAATTAGGTTAAATTTGTGTTGTTGAGAGATGTTATTGTATAGACCTTGTCTATCACTTTAAAAAGCTAAAAAACATTCAAAAACATTTACAAACGTTAATTTACTGACAAGAAATTCGTCATTTTTTATTTTGCATTGCCTTTTGCATTATTTCCTATTTTGTCTCAGGTGTTCTCGTCAAGTTTAACTGTGTAAACTTCGTCTCGTTCTGTAAAAGACATAATTATAAGTAAGCTTATTTTCTGCTCACCTTAACTAGTTTTCAAGTCTGTTTTTTAGCCTTGTTTGGTCCTAAATCTACAGATTTTCGATTTCAATGAAAGACATCCGAGGTAAATTTCACTAAACTTGATATTGTATTGGATTATCTGTAGTTAGCTTTCGTTTTTCTTTAAGTAAAAGAGATCCAAACCCTAAAACTGTCGGCCTTGGAAATAATCTTCCAAGAACAAAACTAGCCCCTGGGGGAGGTGGTGAGTTGTGTACAAAATTCCTAAGTGGGAGAGTATACTCGCGCAAAACAAAAACAAAAAAAATAACAACAATGTACTGCATTTCAATTCGATTTCACTGCATGGTTTTTATCATGGGAGAAATTATCTTCATCTCGAATAATAAATAATTGAAGATTTTTTCCCCGATCTTATTTTTACCTTTCAGTTTCATTCAAATTATTCTCCCTGTTACTTCCGTATCGGGAGATCTGCTGTTAGGCAGTGCCTAAATATATATTATTTGTACTGAGGGATACTATGTACTTTTTGGAAAAGAACATATTTTATCTCCGGCCTGTGTAACATTCAAGTAAAGATATTTTCCTCAAAAGCAATACGTTTCGGCTATTCTGCTTCTCGTGCGTTAATGTTTGTTTTAGGAGGTAATATTCTAGACAAGAAAATGATGGTAAGGTTGTAATGGTTCTGCCTAATGAATAATTGTAACAAATGTAAATACAGTTCTATATCATTTTAATAAAACTGGGTACAAAGGTGCATATTATTTATTTTGCACAAACAAAAAAGTCAAATATATAGTATATAAACATGACCGCGTGGAGATACGGCATTTTATCTTCGAGTGTTGAGGTGATATCCAAGGGAGTTAGCGAATCACCATGTCTGATGAGGGTATCAAAACACGCTCGCGTCATCCTTCACAAATACATCGGAATAATACGATCATTTTTTCGTTTTTTGGCGTGTTTGTTATTTTATAAAACAGATCAAAAAACAGTTATCCGTGTTTGATACTCTGATCAAAACACTTGGGATGTTGGGAGAACACTCGAGAAGCTGGAAACCACTCTGCTACGCGTCTGGTTTCCTACGCTCCTCTCGTGTTCTCTCAACATCCCGCGTGTTTAAAACTGAAAACTCAAAACTCAAAACTGAAACCCCCCATAAAAGGTTTTCATGAAATGTCTGAAAATTCATATCTTCGCGAGAGAGCAAATCTCTGTCCAAATGCGACCCGCGTTCGATCCTCGGACTCGTCGTATGTGAGTAGAGTTTGTTGGTTCTCTCCTGTACTTCGAGGTTTTTTTTCCGGGCTTTCAATTCCGGTTTTCCTCCTTTCGCAAAAATCAACTTCTAAATTCTAATTCGATCTAGAAGGGCCTAGATGAAAATTACCGTGTCATTCCGGTTTCCCTACTAAATTGTGTAATTTTTAGGGGTTATTATTTTACAATGATATCCATTAATAGTCTACGATACTTAGGATGGATCAGAAAGAAATATTAGGTTAGAAGGGAGGCTAACAAATTAAAACAAACTGTTGCTATAAAACTCATAAGAAAACCAACTTAGGACTAAGTTTATACTACTTAAACAGCCACACACACATATATAATAGTATAAAAAAACATTATGTAATTTAATTTTGTGAAATATAATTTGTAATTGTATTTATCGTGTATAAATAAACTTGAGACTTGAACTATTTCTTCTCGAGTTCAACAGAAAGTCCTGCTTGGGACAAATCTAACTGTGGCTCTCCAAAATTATTTTGGAGGTTCTGTTGCCTTTTTAGGCCTTTACCTGACGTGTCTACCCCGGCCATCTCGTTCGATGCTTCATTCAAAGTTAAAACCAGGAACAAACAGCATGACAATGAGCAGCGTGGGTTTCGTCTGATAGCCAAAAAGGTTTGTCCCAGAGTTGTTAGGTAACGGGCTAAAAACAAAACAGCAGGTTAGAATTGAAGTCCCAATAATGATTTTGTACACATCAGACAAGCATGAAAAGATCATATCAACTGACATATCAACTGACCCCGGGTGCTCCTTTAAACTATACTTGAACGGGTATCTTTGATCAATTAGCCTTTCCTCCCTGAACTCCTATCAAATCTTACATTTTACATCTTACATAAAATTTATCTACAAGTTCCTACTGTTTTATTCAGAAACACCGACGCAGTCCACTCTAGTACTCTACTAGTTATCACCACTTCTATCAAATCTACTTATTCCCTTTCTGCTCGAGACTTCTCTCTTCCATTTTGCAAAACAAGCGCATATTTACACATACCAGCCATTATAGCCACGACCGCTGCATTGGCTCCAATCAACAGAACCTTGATTACTGCGCCGTCCAAAGCTTCTCCAGTCGCAGATGAGCCTTCGTTTTGTGTGACGAGTAATGTTCCAACGATCATATTGACCAACGTTGCCAAAAGAGAAGTCAACTGTAACCAGTGTTCAAACACATCTGTCATGGGCTTGAAATACGCAAAAGAGATGGAATATGAACCAGATATTATAGCAGTGATGCCAATGGTAAAACGACTGCCTGCGTCAAGCAGAAGAATGACTGACGTGAGGATGACTTTACGTACCAACTCAATGATTTCCCAAAACCACACTTGTTCTGCATAGTTCTCATACATAAACCTTAATCCAAGAGCTATACCCAGTGCTTCCTTTCTTCTTTTCGTTGGGTCGGTCTTCTTATARTAGTGCTTCCAAAGAAGATACAAAACCAGCAATGGAAAACCTACTGGATATACCAAAAGAACTCGAGCAAAGATGCTGAACCAGAAGAACCTTTGGCTTTCACAGCGCACAGTGTAATCGGATTTCAAGTAATAGCTGCAACTGTTATCTTCTGTCGATGTACAGATTTTCTGACACGCTTCCGGAAGAACCATAAAAATGTGGCTGCTGGTCAGCGGGTATGAGATGAAGAGGATCAGGAAAATGGCGCGAAAACATTGCTGTTGAGCCGAACATTTGATATTGTCGTCCACCTCGCCATTCCTTGAGTTGCTTCTGGTTTTAATGTAGTAATATAGTAATCCCAAGAATACGACTGTGCTGTTAAATACAAGGATAAGCATCAACTTGACATGGATGTCTGTTTTCAGCGATCGGGTCAGACATTGTGGAGGAGCAATTTGTAGCAGATTCATCTGTAAAAGTTCGGCATATTTAATCGCTGAGATCATAACATCCGGCCATTTGATGAACGAAAAACCTGATATTGTTCCTGAAGTGACTTGGAAGAATCCAATGACAATCTTCAGCCGTGCTGTCATGGCGTCGGATAAGGATCTTTTGTTGGACTTGCTTTTCTTTTCTTTAATCATGAATATGAGAAGACCAGTTATTATGACAGTGATGAGAACAACCTGTGCTATAATCCATGGTAAGGACGGGCATTTACGACATGTTGATGCCAACATGTAGAACCCCTTGCTACAGACAGCACAGAGAGGCCCTTCATAGCCAAGAGAACATTCAGAGTCTAGACCACCCTTGCATGCTTCGGCAACTGGACATTCATATGCTTTCGGGATACCCAGCGAATAAGAAGTCATATTTCTATTGTAGGTTTTATTCCTAATTTGTAACTCTGCTGAGAAGTTAGTATAGCGGTATTTTGCATCTGTCGAGTTCCACTTCCAGTAGAAACCAGACAATAGACTGACTGACTCGTTAACGCAGTTGTATCCTTCGTCACATGGCATACACTTCTGAAAGCGATGGACGCGATAATGATCATCCAGGCATGAACAAGCTCTGAACAAGGCGGGGAGATTACGATGTGTTCCTGAAAAGAAGTTTGTATCATCATCACCTTTATCTTCATTTATTATGAATCATTATTATGAATCATTTGGAATCATCGAAATAAGTATATGTAGAAAAGGTCGATTTTTAGGCATGGTATTCTATAAAGTAAAAAAGTGTTATATAGGTTCTTCCAATCAAACTTTGTTTACCTTCTGGACAAGCTTGACATTCAGATCGATCCTTTCCTGGTGCTTGTTCCTCTGTAACGAATGATCCTGGCGGACACTGTTTACACCCTAATCCGTGAGACAGAATCTTGAACTGAGCTTCTTCATCTTGATAGAAACCGCCTGAAAATAACACCAGATTTCTGGATTGACTATCAAAAAACACACCTATATTCTGCGTACTTTAGAGATTGCTATAGCAGATCGACAAACAAAATGTAATAATTACCAGCTGGGCATTGTACGCATGCTCCATCTCTTGTTCCAACCTTATAGGATCCTAGTGGACAAGCTTCGCACCTGTCCTGCGGGTACGGGTAGTACTTGTACCCTTTTTCGTAGAAGATTTTATCAATTCCATGTTTACACGTAATGGAAGATGGATGACTTTGTGATTTGTAGCTGTTAGCGTTAAAAAAAGAATAAGGCAAGAAGGAAAAGACGAAAAAAAAATGGAATATTTAGTAAATAACAAAAAAATTATGACAATGGCATAATGTTACAGAATGTTTCAACATAAAAAACCCCTTCTGGAGGCTTGAATATTGGCTGCATGATAATGTCCTATGACTAGAAATGGTCCGAAAAAACAACAATTGGCCGAGAAGCAAAGCTTCGAGGGCGTATGTGATATTTTGAGGACCTTTTCTCGCCCAAAGACAATATCAGCCAATCTTCCAGTGATCCAACGACTTCACTGGAATGGATTCCGTTAACCCAGTGAAAGCTTCGTTACGTTCATAATCACCAAAAGATTCGAAATATTTCTCTCTCGTCTTCAAACTGGACATTTCTTCACTTTTCTTTTTTTTTTAATTTTTTTTATTTATTATTTTTTGTTCATTTACGTAATTTAATTGTCACGGGACGGATATGATGCTTCGGACGGATAAAATCGTCTGATATCTGTCCTGCGCTTGACGCATTTCAACAAATGACAGCGCGCGAAAATGTACCGTTGGGTTATAAGCTATAATATTTAACCTCTCCCCCCCCCCCCCTTATTTTGCTCCTACTGGTTATCACTCACACGAGTATTGCTGTATCATATCCTACTCTTAGGATTCTTGGTACTATCTGCTGCAGTTTGGTGTCTATCAAATTTCTAGTAAAAAAAATAAGATTGTTAACGTACAGTAGAGATCTCGAACCTTTCTAGGGTAAACACAACAAACAAGCATACAAAAACATACAAAAACATGGAGAAACAACAGACGGACAGGCATACATACATACATACAGACAGACAGACAGACAGACAGACAGACAGACAGACAGACAGACAAACAGACAA